TTATTCCAGGGACTGGAAAAACTCTTGCTTACCTGGCGCCAGTGGTTCACCATCTGAGAGAAGACGAGCGCAAACATGGTGTCATAACGCGTCTGAAACGACCACGAGCATGTATTGTTGTTCCAGGCAGGGAACTTGCTATTCAAGTGTTAGTAAGTATCTTTGTCTCTCTTCTCTAATCTTAGAACTCGTAAAATGAAAAGTTAAATTCTTGGCAATCACTGAGCTAAGTGGCTCCTTAAGTTAAATTGGACAGCTTTTCTGACTGGTTGCCTTTTGTAGAGCATTGTGTTGGCGAAAGACTTTCCTTAAGGCGGTAGAAATGTAGCCCGACTGGAGCGCAAATTACAAGAAACTTATTCCCCATCGAGTTATCGACATTGCTGATCCTAGCAGTATGCAGAACGCGTGTCATATGAACTTTGTAATAGACCTCGCTAGCCGTAGAGTCTCTGTGGCTCAGTGGTAGAGCATCGCAGCGCGGAATCCGAAGGTCAGAGGTTCGATTCCTCATGGGGACTCAGAATTTTTGCTTTGTCCCACGCTCGTGACAGGACGAAAAAGAACTTTCCCCAATAAGATTAATTGTTCCATTCAGATTTGTCTTTCAAATTGACTTCATTTGCGTTGGCCTTAAATGGGTCTGTAACACACACAGGCGTGTTAAATCATGTATCGTCATGAATAAAGTGTAAATTAAAAGCTTCACCTTACTAGACACAAGTTGAGGTGCAATTTATGCAATGGTGAACACTTGCATGACTTGTACCCTTTCTTTTTTTTTTTTTTTCTCCAGGAAGTTGCTAAGTCATTAAGTCATCATGCACGCTTTAAATCAGTTGGCATTATCGGCGGACGGAAAAAGGTGAGAGAGTTCAAAAGTATAGCCAAGGGCGGGGTACCTTAAGTGGTAATTTGTATTAAAGGGGGTGATTTTCAATGATAACACAGCCTGTGACGCATGTAAATGTCAGTGGGTCCTCTGTGCAGTTACCTTCCTCCCCCTTCCCCCCCCCCCACCCTTTCCTTCTCCCTTAAATGGAAATATCCCACGCGCTTGAAGTTGTTTTGTCGAGGTCGATTAGTAATGAAGTAACACGTTTATAACTAAACTGCTGGCTGTAAAATGTTTCTCTCACAGAAATTTATGAAAAGAGACCTTGCGTCTCCCGTGGATCTCGTGGTTGCCACTCCAGGAACGTTACTTCAATTTCGTCAGAAAGGTACGTACCTTATTGGAACTGATCTTACAAGCGCTTACCGAAGATAAAGTGACCGGCTTGCGTGACACGTGCTTATGTTATCGGTCACGCTCCGAGTGCGCTGAGTTGTTCACCGAACGACTCTTAAAAAAGGACCTAGAGTACTCATAGTTCTTTATTTTCACTGTGATTTTCAGGGGTATCAATAACTTTTTCATAAGACGGTTGCTAAAAATCTAATAGGCAGCCGTGGCCAGAAAAGGGGTGGTAAGGCAAAACCCAAACACGAGGGCCTGCTCTCGGACTAAACAGACAGCGGTGAGGGGTCTTATAAGCGGCGGTCCGGTAACCGGCTTTTTTGAAACCTCAGGGATTCTTGTCCCCGTTTTTGTCCTTACTAATGAGTGGTTTCTACTCCTTTTTTTTTTTTTAGATCGTTTGTTTTTCTCGGATTTGTCGTATTTGGTAATTGATGAAGCGGATTCCATGTTTGATTCCTCGTTCAAATCAGACACAATGGAAATTCTCCAATCGATCTCGGTGAGCCGACACGTACCATCGTATATTTTTCTTTGCATACGCGCTTGACGTACGCACAGCACATCCCTAACTGAGTGATTTCTACAGGGTGTTAATTTACAACCGGCAACCCACTTGGTAGAGACGCTTTGGTCTTTGCTCCTGACCCTTAAACTCCCATTAGTGACCAAAACCGAATTTCTCCTTACAATATCACCACAATATTAAGCGGACAAGCGATGAGAATAAAGAGAGATATCAATTAGTGGATTATGAATTGATCCAATACCAAATTCTTTAAACTATCATCAAAAGAATTGTATGGCAGACAGTTAGGAAAATTACTTATGAGATCTTAGGAGTGAAAGGGTTGATACAGGATAAGATTGTCCAAGTACATTCCCTTGTTAAAGTCACTGTGGTACGTTCTTTTGTAAGATTCTATTTATTTCTTTCCCTGGGGCTTTCTTCACCGAGGAGTATGAACGTTCACATGTGCTTTGAAAGGGGACAAATGCTTTGGAACCGTTCATTCCGCCCTGGGTTCGTAATACCATCCCTGTAGCTTCATTTTACACAAAACAGATACATTTTGGCTCAACCCGGAGTATTTGTGGGGAAAAAAATGCACTCGAAGGCAGATAAGTACTGTCGTTGTTGTTATTAAATTTTACATACCCTGTTGCGCTTTGATTTAATTTGTTGAATACATATTTTCAATTTGCCAATGGGTACTAGTTGGTCATTCAATCACCTCTCATATTTCATCCCAAATCATTGTTTTATTTCATGTTTTGTTCGGTTGCGACAACCACTTTATGTAACCTTGTTACAGATACGACAAGGTAGACCATCTCCTCCCAGCGAGCAGCCGGTGGACACACAAGTCACTATTGTCGGTGCAACGATGCCAAATGAGTTGGTGGTAGACACCTTACAGCGAATGCTTCCGGTAAGATGCAGTGAGATCAGCATGTCGGGTGTTTCTTTTTTGTTTTTTTTTCCTATAAGGAAATCGGTTGGATAGTTTTTATTCCTGTTTCGTTTATCTCTTTCAAGCCTTACGTGTGGGACATTTTTTCTCGTGACGCATATAAAGCAATAATCAGGAACTGTTTTTCTTTGATATTTGCAGTGAGGCGATTCATTTTTTCCTGCATTTATTGCCTGGTCTCTTTGAAACAAAGGCCGCATGCGTCGTTGATTGTAACAAGCGAGTATATATTTCTTTCAGCGCTTAAAAACCTGTTCTTCTGGTCTTCACCGCGTTCTTCCCCATATCAGACATAGGTTTGTAAAAATCAAGCAGGAGGAAAAGGCAGGTAAGAGAAACAAGGATGTCTGTGTTATAATAACTTCCTCTGTTTAGAGGGGACGGAACAAAAGTTCTTTGAGTTGTGAGAAGAAGTTTAAATATGCCGCGGTAGTAAAACTCTAGCCAAAGTTGGCTTTGAAGCAGAATTAGAATATCTTCCCCTGCATATGAAGTTTCGGATCCTAAATCAAAGTCCTGCAGCAGTACACAGGGATTTTAGTTTTTTTTAAGGACGAGTTTACCCTGAAATTCTGTCAACGATGTCTGTGAATTCTCTTGCATTCAACATTTTAAAAATTCGTCGAACTTAATTAAATGTAGTCTAGTATTTTGTTTTATTTGTTTTATTTTTGCAGGCAAACTCCTAAGACTCTTGAGACACGACCTTCAAGATCCTTTTCAGCGAACTATCGTGTTCTGTAATACCACAGAGGCTTGCGATTTTGTGGGGCATTTTCTCGTAGAGAAGCGTATCAAATTTATCCGACTTCACAAAGTGCTTCCTTCTAAGGTAATAAATTTGCTAGCTTGTGATGGTTAGGTCAGTTCTAAGTTAACTCTTTACACCCTAACATCAGCATGCATGTTCCCCATACTGTTTTCTATACATTTCCTACTGCGCTAACAGGGAGAATTTGTTGAACAATCAAGAGGTTTTATAGTTGATGATCATTTCCTTTATTGGTTATCTGAACGGATATAATTTTTTTCCAATTTGTACTAAAAGGTTGAACAACAGGGAAAACGAACAGTTGTACAATGTTTTTGTTTTGGCAATTTTTTTGCTTATTGAAGGTGAGGAGCAACTTATTTGAAGAGTTCCAAGAGGGAAGAGCAAGAGTTCTTGTTTGTACTGATATAGCATCTAGAGGAGTAGACCCTGATGTAAGTATGAACGAAGTTTACTTCATTCTGCTGAGCCGTGAAGGGGAACTCAGTGGTCAAAAGTGGGTGCATGCGCGAGGGGATTAATTCTGGCCGGCCGCTTGCCGATTTCCCGCGCAAAATTTCAAAGGGAACATAAGAAACAACCACTGTCTTGCAAAGTAAACGAAAGAAATTGAAACGTCCGTAGAAATCTCTAAAAGAAAACAAAAGTAGGGGAAACTGAAGAGACACGACACTATTCGAGTACAAAACCTATTTAAGTACGGGTTTCCTGTTGATTTGAGCTTCACCAAATGCGTCATACGCATATATCGTGACTTAGTGTCTTGTGTGTGTGTTTGTTTGTACCTCATGTGGGATACCTTGATTATGAAAGCCTGTAGGCACGCCAACTAATGTTCAACGTCTAACCGCTGTGTACCTCAAGCCGTGGGTGCTTCAGTGCGCTCGCAATACTCTCCACACTAAAACAACCACGGCTGCATACTAGGCCTGAGTTGTGAGTTATTTTGTTCATATACGCCACGATGTATACAATTTCTACAGTTCTCAGTTGAGGTGGCTCCAAGGATTGTGACCTGCGCACTGGCGTTATGTTTTTCTGGAGAATTTTTGATGTCTTTTCAAGATCACTAAAAGGGACCAAAATGTTATAAACAAGATTTGGACTGTTATCCTCTGTAATTGATATTATCGTCATGGCTTTCCTTCTTTAAGACAGAAAGCGGTCCATTGCTTTACTTTATTTCAAGTTTTCTGAACATTTAACCTGACTTTGTTCTCCCCACTCTCCCCTCAGGTAGGCCATGTGATCAACTTTGACTTCCCCACGTCGTTAGTGGACTATATTCACCGCGTGGGTAGAACTGGCCGTGTAACGACAGAGACGACATCAACAGGGGTGTCGGTAGCCACCAGTCTACTTACTCATAACCGGGATGTTAGAATGGCAAAGATAATTGAGGTAAGACGATGGTCTTTCCTTGTTTGTTGGTCATAATGTATATTAAAATAAAACACCGCTGAGAGAGGATGGCGTTGTTTGCTAGCTGGTAAAACGCGCAGCCCCAAACTGAATGGCCAAAAGTCATTTGAAACGATTTAAATACGATCGACCTGAAGAAACGAAAACTATTTCCGGTTTCCTGTCGAAAGAAATTGTGATTATGTAGCATCAGTAAGTAAAAATCTTAGCATATTTGTCCAGGACATAGTCGAGAGAGTAGGCGTGATTTTGACGGGCGAGTGGTCAGTACTTTCGGATCAACATGATCAACTGCGCACCTACCCCTCCCCTAACCCAACATTAACCCGAACTTGTTCTCAGTTGACTGTTGAGTTAGGGAAGGGTGGGTGTGCAGTTGTTAGATACTGACATTGATCCGTGTGCCGAAAATTGTAGCTGCCATAGTTGATCTCTACAGCAGCGGAAGGTTGGGGAGAGAAATAAATATAAATTTGTACTATGGGGGGGTGGGGGAGCGATGGTCGAAAGGAAGGAGATGGAAGGGCTCTCTCCCCCACTGTCCACTCTAACTTTTCATCAAACATGGTCGGTCGGGTAAACGATTGCGCGCTTGTAACGTTAACTCGCGCTATTAAGACGTCTGTACTGCAGGTAAGCCATGACGTGGAATCGATGTCCTTTCTTTTTCAACAATTGCCTCATCTTGGTGATACGTTTACGACGGTCAGTGCCCTTTGGGGAATCGATTTGTTGTAAAAGTATGTTCTATTGACATTACTGGCTTGTTCCATTGTAGCAAGCAGCTAAAAAACAGCGACGTCTGGAAGGTATCGAAATTCGCCCCAAGCGCCCCTCTGCAGAGCCTGGCCCCAGAGAGATCTGGGAAAATAAAGAAATAAACTTTAAAAAGTTGGATGATGAAGACTTTGACGAGGAAGATGTAGAGTTCACGTGACATGCGGTGTCTCAGATTGAAACAAACATTTCTTATTTATGGAAATATATCGTTAACACTACGAGTTACATGGATCCTTTGAAGTTCATAGTGAGCGTGTCTTTGGGCCCGTGCTTGTCTTGCGAAACGACTGTAAGCGCCTTATCAAGGAAAGTGAAGATATCTTATGACTAAAATGTCGACCAAAATGAAAGGAAAAAAAAACGTTGAAAAACGTCATTAAAGATAAGTATATGTGCAGCTGAGTACGTCTTCAGTTTTTTTAATTTGTTCTGTTGACACTACAAAAATTATGTATGATTGTGTATAATTATTGTTAAAAAGTCTTCTTGTTTTAATTAATGTCTTTATTTTCAGTTATTAAAATTAGCATTAGTGCACTTGCTGGTTAAGAGCCATATCCCACACAAGACTCAAGGATCTCTTCATTATACATTCATTCAACGTTATCAGAAGTGTAGATCATGCTTCTTACCTAAAATAAACAACTCTATGCAAATGAAGTGCCCAAGTTCCTCTCGCTTTTTTCTCCTCCGCTTCAATTAAGCCGTCTGCTTATCTGCTCCGTTTTACCAAGTGAACGCCTGAAACAGGTTATGTTCGTTGATAAAATTGAAGCGAATATTTCTCCATTAGTTTCCGTCTTAGTGTACCTAATATTCTAGGTTAAGTAATGTCTCAGTTATTTCCTGAGGATACCGCGATAAGACAGCACTCAGCAGCTGTTTACACTTGTTGGCGTATGTCCAAAGATCGATGTACAGCCACCAATACAGGTGTGAAATAGCTTACGTGCTTTTTTTGTTATAATTTATTGCGTAGAAAATAGTAAGATAAAGTGAAAAGATGAAGTGTGTCACGGATATTTAATCAGGCGGAAGTTAAGTACACTAATATTCTGGCACTGATTAAATGGGAAATGAATTTATCATTAGACGTGCGACGTGTGTCGAATGAGGCGTTATTATGTGTTTTATGCAGTATCAAACCCTTGAGTTTAATAAAGCATAAAACTTTGGTGAGCTCATTTCCTAATTAATTAATTTCTTTAAAAAACTCGTGCGTCGTGTTTCACTAGGGTTTCTAAACACTCGAAAATTAATATCGTGTTTGGATACCCTGATGGAACACGATGCACAAGTTTTTGAATTAGTACTTAAGACGCGATGAAATATTGAGTACTTTAGAAATGAAAAAGAGAAACAATCAAGCCTCCTAGCACCCAAATAACCAGAAATTGTGGTCATCAAAATTTAGGACGAAAACTGTGAGGGACACGTGGGGAAACTGTAGGCCACTTGTGGCCTCGTAAAATTAAAGTCCGCTGTGTAAGAAATGAAAGCGCGAAAATTTCATTTTCTTAGAGTAGTAAAAGCTTTTAAATCAATTCCAAATACGATTTACTTTTTTCGTCAATCAAGTGTTTGTTTCGCCTCCTTCATGGTTAGTCGCGGCCAGTTCCACTGAAACCTTTGCTGTTCTTCTCCGCGCGCATTCTCGCCAAATATAAGCCAGAATTCTTTTGTCAAGAATCATGTACTCGACTGGTACGACGGTGAAACTGGAGTAAGCCAAGGAATACGACCATAGATACGCACAATGAACTTCCAAAGAGGAGAACCTGTTTCTTAATAACACCATGAGTGCAAACATTACCCATAAACTAAGATATGTTGTGATCATTACGATGCAAATCTTGGTGAGTTTGACTTCTCTTTTTACCACTGAAACACCCAGAGTGTCTCGCAAATGGGTTGAGTGATCCTGAACGTATTTTCGAATGGCGTAGAATCTGTAAAACACAATTGCAAGAGAAGGCAAGATCCACAGAGAAACGACGGCAATCATCACTGTCTTGCCAATGATTGCATGAGAGGAGACGTCTCGTCCGGGGCTGTAGCAGGCGTGTTCGCCCCGTACGGCAGTAAGGATATGTCCTGTTCCCCCGGCTGCAGCGGTACAACTTGCAAACAACCAAATGAAGACAAGGAAATATGCGGTCTTCTTGCAAGTTATTTCACGCAAAGGCGCGCGGCAGATGGCGTCATAGCGGTCTATACTTATGACAGCCAGTGTCATGATGTTCACAGCAAAACAAGTGAACATCGTGAAAAACCTTGACAAGCATATAGGGTTATCTGCAATACTCGATTGACTGTTTATAGCTCTTACATGAAGTGGTAGACTGATAAAGCACGCCATGAGATCGACGCCTGCAAAATTTGTAATCAGTATTCTATCTGGCGTTAAACCCTGATGGCGATGCTTTAAAATCGTAAAAATTAGAATGACCAAGTTCGCGGCAGTGCCGTAAAAACACGACACTCCCAAAACTGCATTTAAAGCTGTCAATCCTGGACATTCGGCATTAGTTCTCAATGGTTGTGATTTTCCAAGCGCTAAACTGTAATTCGAAGTTGGAAACATACCGGCAATAAGATTCTCCTATAGTTTTGTGTCCATATTTTAAAGACCGGATGCTAAATGGTCGTTTGCATTTGCGCATTTCGGATAACCGTATCACCTGTTCCCAAAATTATTTAAAAATGACTGAGATACCTGTTTCCAAGGTTATATCGCATTTAGGAAAAATTTCGCTTTCATCTTCAGTCAGCTAGAGGTCTACTGATAAAGCGTGTCTACAGATAAAGCGTGTATGTATATATCATCATACAAGATGCTTTCATATGCTAATCACGACTCGAAACTGCACTGCACTATCTGTCTAGTGGTAACACAAAAATTGACATTTTGTATGAAAACGTCTCATTAGTTTCCGAACCAATCTCCACTGTAATCAGTCCTCTAACAAGGTATGAATTAGCGCTCTTTGGAATAAAGCGAAGTCTAATCAATAAGTTTGCATTGACAATGAACTGATCAAGACTTTAATACTGTAAAGCAATAAACTACTAAAGAAAAACCTTAAAAAACAGAACGAAATCTACTTTATTCAAGCAGAGCAAACAAAAAAAATGCACATTTCGACCATACCGTATTTTAATAAAGCATTTTACTTCACGTCAAGAACTAATTACTTGAAGAAAATGTTATGTTCGAAAAGCAAGCGAGTGAATAAAAGGTCGTCTTCACTTATTAATTTCAGATCATGTGGTGATTTCCCACACGAAATACAATATTTGCAATAACATGGGTGTAAGCCGAGTGAAGTGGTAACTCTTCAAAGTCATATCTGAATGACACTTTTGTTAGCAAGGATTACACGATTTTGTTTTAGCCTTGGGAAAATTTAAATATCTGCTTGAGAAATAAACGGCTCATATGCGAAAAATTGGTTGGTAGTGAGATAAAAACAATCTTTTTAACGGCGAATTATTCATTTGTACCAAATTCTCTCGTCAATTTATCAAACATCCCTTTCTAACCTTTTAGCTCCTCGTTATTTTCGTATGTATCGGTTATTTAAGACATTTTATCCAGTAACATTAAGTCATTTATAGTTTTTGGATGGGAAATTGATTTCTAAAACTACCTCTCTAATGGTTTAATCAAACGATGAGTAAACTTCAAACGGCTGAAACAACAACGCTTCCTTCCTGCTGTTAATGTACAATTTGGGGCGAGAATTACAATTCGTGGATTATGCCTATTAACACATACATGGTATTTGTCCGCGGCCATCTTAATCAATAGACAAATTTTCCGATTTTTAATAAAGCGCTCAGTAAGTCAGCATTGATGAAAAACGTGAATACATTATTTGTGGAAAAAAATCCCCAATTTAAAAAAGAGACGTCGCTAGGGTTCCCTATCATCTATTGAACGATTAATTATGTAGGCAATACGACCATATCGTGAAGAAACGCACAAAATCATACACTTTATCCAAGATATCTGAGACACGAGGCGCGCCTGGGTTTCAACAACTGTCTTGAATTCTCACAAACTCGAGTGTCAAGAGGAGGCTACCCAAAATACGGAACAAGTCATCAGTTGCTCAGGTCTAAGACAAAGCGTATGGCAATTTAATTGTTTTTTTTTGTTTTCTTGTAACAGAGAAGAGGGTCTGACTAGGGTTAACCGCGGCAAACGCCGAAGAATATAACTGACAAAACGCGAAAAAAAAAACCCGATAAGCGACACCTAAATACAAACCAAAAACCGACTCGATCCGACACTAACAATATTCGTATTTAGAAAGAAGAGCATTCCAGCTTAGGAGGTAGCCACTTTAAATTCAAGATTCAGTTAATTGGATTTCCTGTCATTAAACTTACTTATGGCCCAGTGGGAGCGCGGGCTCTTTCCAGAACAACGTCAGGTTCTTGGGCGTACGAATTACTCAACAAATATAAATAATTAACTGGCATTTTTAATCATTAATCAAGATTTATCCACAACCGACGAAGATCGAAACTTTTAATCGATTACCGACAAAGCAATTAAGTTCTGACCGACATTAGGACCCCCAATCTCTTACCCCTCCTCCCCCCCATTCAGACCCTCTAGGATATCTTATGGTGCACCTTATTCATTGATCCCATGGGGATTAACAGAGCGCATAATTAGCAGCCAGAGAAGCCACGGATCTTCAAGCAGCAATTATTAACCATTAAAGACAAAATAAACGAGAGAGTTATTATCAATTACTTGCTCTAAAAGTAAACAACAGTGAAAAGATTCAATTACATAAATCCAATAGAAGATTAAATGTAACAATCATAACCAAGTGGCCGTAAGGGTAATGTTTAGAAAGGTTTCTCCTTAGCTCCCCCCCCCCCCCCCCCTTAGTCATCTGCGAAGGGGAGGGGAGATCATTGTAGGGAGGGAAAGGGGATACCAGAATAAGAAAAAACGACAAGAAGAACATTAGCCCAGGTATCTAGCGGTTTTATGTGCGATTTGAGGCGCCAAGTAGTAGAATTGTAGAAACGAGCAAAAAAAGCCGGATAAGGCCACTCGCGGCTTCGCCTCTCATCGCTTTAGTTCGCACACAAAACTTCCAGCTACGATGGCAAATAAAAAAAACTACAGCACTATAACTTAACAACAAAGTATCTGTCGACAAGCACGTTAAATTTTCTCCATTCATGAAAATCACCATCGTCATCCGGATTTTCGTTACGATTAGTGCTCTACATCTTTACACTCAATGTCTTTGTCTTGTCTTTTCGTTGAAGTCCGTAAATGCTGTGCTATCATGCTGTCGTCGTCATTATTAATTTCGTCGTCATCATCATCATCATCTTCATCACCACCTTGTTCAATAAACATTTCACCGTCACTTTCGTTCCTAATGTGACCCATGCGATCATTAACGCTGTCATCTCTACGATTGAAAGACCTGATTACCTCGAAAACATCAGCTGCTCCATGTATAGAAGTACAGTTATATGCTCCACAAACGACCAAACATCTTCCTGTCAAACCAAACCCATAATGCATGCCCAAAATGGATCACAATCGCCTGATCTTCAACAAATAACTTGGATCGGTGTCCGTTTGGACCAACAACTTTTCTTGAGATCAAGCTTGAGACGTGACTGGCTCTCAAACGCAACGTAACCAGCCCACCTTTGATTTGCTTCCTTCGATATCAGCACAGTTGCGCAACCTAACAAGCTCTCCTCTCCTTGCCTCCAGTTCTCGCAGTTGTTACTCTCGTAACTAGTCTTCAGACAAGGAAGCCTCTATATCCATGTGGCCAGTGCTCCTCAGATGCATGGCGACTCCTCGTGGATGCCTACACAATACATTGCACAAAGGGCAAACTACTTCTTCAGTAAACTGTTCTGACGATCTGAAAGTCACAAAACAAAATGAAACATTAGCAAGTAAAGATCGTTTCAATTAATTTTTTTAATTTGAGCGATGTCACTTCACCATGTGAGCCGTCACTGTCTTGTTTGAACTCCTTAGAGCAGCAGAGAAGAATATAAAAGAAAGAACCGAAGAGAGAAATACATTTTTCTTCCACTAAACTGCATTCTTTGGCACCTTTTAACTCCAAGGATTTACTGAGCAATTCTCCAATAAGCCCCTTAGTTATGGATTTCCTCGTAAATTAGCCAGGAAAACTTGGAGTTAAATCAATATAACACCTTCCCGCTGAGAAGTCCGTCTGTTCTCTTAACTTGTTCTTTGGATAATGTGCTGCAGGATTTTCAATACCTTTTTCCATAAGCAGCTGACAATAATGTAATAGGCGGCTTTCCCTGCAAAAGGGGCCGTAAGCCGAAACCCAAACACCTGAGTGCCAAACAGATAGCGGTAGACCGCCAATAACTGGCTTTTATTTAAAAACCCTGTATACTGGTATTGCAAGGAGAAATGAAATCTTTGTCACTTCTGTGATTAACACAAACTGTACTAAAACCGATTTTCATTTTTTCTACCGTATGGTTGCCGGCAATCAGCACGAAAAGGTTTGCATGTTATGTACTTTGTTGATAAATGCTAACCTAGGTCCAGTTTTCTTATCCTATTAATTTCCACGTTTATAAACATATATACGAGAAAGTTTCCAGCAGAGGGAAAATAAAACTTAGTTGAACCAAGAGGCAAAAATTGAAACACAACGCAAACATAATTATTCGGACCATTGCAAAGCTGCTCAAGGAACAGAAGCAAACATTTAAGGCGGCCGATACTTGTTTACCTTCCTTCCAAGCTTTTGAGCCACTCCAACTTTTCCCGCAGTAGGGCCACCTTCTGCCTGGCCTCGTCGTCTTCATCCTCCAGAGGTATGCCGGAGATAGCTACAGCATTGTGTAACGTAAACAGCTGACCGGCATCTGACTCTTTGGTGGTTGCTTGTAGAAGGTAGGCAGGATCGATCTGTGGCAAGTAAATAAATTGTGGTTTAAAGCTGTATCAACTTGGAGAGGCTTTTAGGGAGTGATCATGATCTTTGCTTCGCCTGATTTTGACTCTTAATGCAATGTCCTTGAGAAAGCTCAGCATCCAGGAACTAAAGTGAAATACAATTTGGTTTTATTAGCTATAATGATACTTAAAATTGGCCACTGTAAAGAGTGGCGACGTTTCGAGCGTTAACCCTTCGTCGGATTGAGTCTCCATAGTGACGCTCTATGAGTGGCTAACAAAACTTGCTTGCCCAGCGTCGCAGCCAATCAGATGCAAACACGTTTTCCCACAAATGACGTGAGAAACCAGTGTCATCCGTGGATTCCCTGGTCATCATCTTTTTCTTATAAAGTATTTCGGTGGGTAGTTGGTCTTGAATTGTACAAAACTCAAACAGCACTTTACGAAAATTCGTCAGTTCGATGCTCGAATTACCTGATTCCAGTAGCCCGTTCTGGGAAATGGGCATGGACTTTTGTTCTCCCTGCGTTTCAAGACAATTCTGAAAAATTTAAAGAAATCGATCATACGCAATTTGAACGACTTTCACTTCAAACATCATACAAACTTGAGAACGTCGGAGATCAATAAGGCTACAC